GAAACAGCCTCAGGTCTCTGCCCCTCGCTGATGGTACTCGGGTATTAATCCATTAAGGCAATCAAAAGAGCTTAAATAAAAGTCTGAAGTCTGCAATATACATGTCAATGAACAAGCGGTAAAACTTCCTGAAAAGGTGATTTCAAAGCCATATTGCCCACGCTTGGCAAATTGCATATTTAATTATTTTGTCAGTCCCTCCTTCTCCTCTAATCTTTGGGGAAAATGCCTTCGGCCATACGAAACCAGTTAGGATAATTAAGGTGCGGTGGAATTAGGTGTTGGCTGATTTCTCAGAGAGATGCCATCCTCCAGCCTGGTAAGAGATGTGTGCAAGCCCCAAAAGGCAGACGGCATTGTAATGTCTGCCTTTGCATAGAAAGATCAAAGGTCTTTTGCCCCTTTCAAGATGTTTGTAGAATTTGTTTCCCAATTATCCCACATTTGCGCACTGGGACATCCTAGTTAACTCTTTGATGGCACCTCGAGAATGGGACCGTAATTGACATCAAGACACACCTCCCCACTGCAGGCCCGGGCTAAGACTCCCATCTGGGGTCGATGCTCTGAGAGAAAACGGGACAATGGAGTGCAGACTTCGGCTTCGGCCCTTTGGTTCCAGCCCTGCTCTGTGCTCAGTGACACGGACTGGGTGCTCAGATCAGGCTGAGCCTGGGAGACTGCACTGCTTCAGATCCAGGTGAAAATGAGGGCTCGGATTTTGCCTTTGCAAAACTTCCCACCTGAAGGGCAGCCCCTGCCTGCCTTTGAAGATCTTTCTAGAAAGGATATCCCTGAAGACGTCATCTTCCTACATCGGGATATTTCTCCTTCCTAAACAAAAGTTGATCTCAGAAACTGAGAGTAGAATGCTGGTATTTGGGGAAAAATAGGGTGTGTCGGGGCGGGGGGGCGGTGAGCAATAGGTACCAAGTCACAGCTAAAGAGCAGCAAGAAGCTCTGGGTGCTGAGGCACAGTTTGGTGACTAGAGATAATGACTGTGTATAGGACATTTCCAAAAGCTAGAAGAAAGGGGTTTGAAGGCTTCTACCATAAAGAAGTGATATTCGAGGAGATAAAAGCTTAGCTTGATTTAAACATTACGTAGTGTATGCATCTGTATGCATTACATCACCCATTAATAGGTAAAACTTTTACGTGTGTGTATCCATTAAATTTTCGAAGAATGAAATGATGAAAAAAGCCACCCAATACTTGGTAAAAGTGAGAAAAAAGTAGTTGAGATTTAAAGTTTCAGTTATGGCATTTTTGAAACTAACTGTGATCCCAAGAGCACGCCAAATTCAAATGTTAAAATGTCTTTGAGAAAATCTAATATGAAGACTTTTTCTGGTGTGAGTTTTATTAACTGTTCATGTTTCCCTTTTGCGTGTTCAGTTAATCTTTCTCAACTCTGCAAGCGTTTCTTTCCGAGCACTTCGTTCAATTTGTCTTTCAAATTTTTGTCTTTGCTTAAGGAAGACAAAGAAAGAGGAGAAAAAAAATAAAGAATCTCTGAGTCTCTTCTTATGCAAATGGAATGGCCCTTTTGGAAATAATTTTTTGCAAAGCCCACAACAATTTGAAAAATGAAATACCAACAGGGCAAGGGGCCACATCTGCAGGGCCGCTCCTCGAACTTTTTCAAACACTTTTGTCTTTTTCTTTCCTTCCAGGTTAACCCTTTAAGAATCCACCTGTGTCCTCAAAAACTACATCGAAGAGCTAAGAGCCCAGGAGGGTAAGAAGGCAGAGTGTCCCTTCCACCACGGCTGTTTCCCATATCCTTCAGGAGACCCTAGATCAGAAAGACTGCCGGCCCTCTGCATTCTGCAAACATCAGACCCAAAAATGCCTCATTTCCCCATAGGTAATTCCCACTGCAAGGGGTCCTCCTCCAAAAATATGTACAGAACAAGCAAAGTCACGAGGAAATGCATTTTCTGTTCTTTGCAGCAAAAAAAGAGCAATTATAGCCTCCTAGTGCTTCCACAAGCAGAAAAAGCAGCTACACCCGGGTTTCTGCTGCCAGAGAGGGGGATGGAAGGTACCGTCTAGGAGGGAACAGGGCCGCCCCATTACGGAAGGGGCTCCGGGGACGGTCATCACATTTCGCAAATGAAAATAAGGACATTCCATTAAATTTGGATTTCAGAGAAATGAGAATGTTTTTGTCTAATATGTTCCCAAAGACTAGATGGGATATACTTGTACTAAAAAAGTTACTCCGTTGTTTGTCCAAAATTCACATTTCATAGTGCATCCTAATAGTGTATATATATATATATATATATATATATATATATATATATATATATTACTTTTCCTTAATAGTGCATCCTGTATTTTACCTGGGAGCACCAGCTTTGGTTCCAAATAGAATCAAGGATACCAAACAGAATTTTTTTTTAAATCTAGATGTAAAGTTAAATCTATGAAATCAGTGCTTTACACTAGGAAGGAACAACGCTTGGCTACTGGCAGCCTGCAGGAAAGAAGGGGCCGACCGGTTCCAAGCTGTGCCTGAGGGGAGCTGCCTGGTCTGCACACGCCTGCCTTCATCTTCCCCATCCCTGTCTCATGGGAGGAAACTGAGCCCCTGAGGAGGAAGCACCAGGCTGGGTCATCCAACAGGCGGTCCGAGTGTGTGGAGACACCTAGAAGCTTTTTCAAGCCCAAATGAGTGCCCTTGGGCCAGCCAGGACTCTGGAGGCCTTCTTCACACGGACTTCACAGCAGAGGATGGTTTATTTTGAGGACCTCTGGGGCTGGGAGCACTGGGGCTTTTTAGGAGCTATAGCGACTACGGGACTTGACTTAGGGCCAGGCTGTCCCCAGCCAGCTATCGGGTCCAATGCTGCACTGACCTTGGGGAGATGGCCTCAGAGGCTCGGATCCACAGCCTGAGCCCTGCCGCAGGGTTCAGCCTCTGGGCTGGGAGGATGGGCAGGGGGAGGGGTAGCTTGGGTCAGATTGTGTTGTTAGAAGACAGAACAGCTTCCCAAGGCCAGCTCTTCCAAGCACGCTCAAGGGCATCCCTGCCATACTGGTCCCAGTTCCTGCTCAGTCCCCCGGGCGCGAGTAGGAACCGTCCTCCTAGTTCTTACAGCTCCGAGGTGCCTGATTCCCAGCTGTCAGCCTGACCACTCCTTCAGCCAGTTCTTTCTCCTGTCCCCTCTAACTCCCTCCTGCTGTAGGACAAGCCCTTTGGTCCTGCTGGGCCTCCAGGGAGACAGAGAACAGCTGGCCAGCATCTGGTGCACGCCATTAGCCAGGCCCCTGCCTCCTGGGCCTTCCGCTCCCCAGGCAGAATAATCCGCTTCCTCTAACCTTTCGGCTGGGCCCCGTGCTCTAGGGCTTTCATCCTCCTGTCCATCCCGCCTCTGAAGCCACTCCAGGCTCCCTGACCCTCCTATGGCTCTGCTGGGCCAGCCTAGACTGACCAGCGGGTGGGGGCAGCACTGAATGCCCCCTCCCCCTGCTGTTCTGGGAGGCAGGGGAGGGAAGCCTGTCTGTCTGGGGGAAGGAGCAGGTGTGGGGCTGTGCCAGGCTCCCTACTGCTGGTGGGCGCCATTTGCCTGTAACTCTGCCAGGAGGGGTGGAGGGCAATGCCCAGGGGTGATTCAGATGGAGGCCTCTGCTTATCCCTCGCTGGGTGACCCTGGCAGATGACCTCAGCTTCCTCACCTGTAAGGGGTGGTTAGGAAGATTCCAAGGACGAGGTCCCTGTGGGCTGGGCCTGGCCCACAGCAAGAGCCCTGTGGGCATGTGGGACTGTCCCAGCCATGCCGTGTGCAGGGACGGTGTCTCTGTATCACCATCCTCCGCCCCGAGCCAGCAATGCACCGTCCTGCCCAGGCTTGATTCTGCCCCAGAGCTGGTTTCAGGGCCTGTTAGATTCTGCTGCAGCCCCAGCTGGGGAAGGAGGGAGGCTACACACAAAGCCCAGGTAACTCTTCCTCCTCAGCGCCTCCAGAATTCCTAAGGAGACCTCATCTTTCTCGAAGTTTTCGTGGTCCCAGAGTACTCTTCATTCTCTCCCTAGCTTGGTGGCTCCCCAGGGTAGGGTACGTGTGCCCCACAGGCATCTAGCTGACAAGGCCAGGGGGACCAATCATCCATACTGAGCATTTACAGATTTGATCCCTCCAAAAAACAAGCTCCCAGAAGCCCCAGCCACTATCCGAGTTTCTCTCAGCGACCATCTCCAGGGAGGTGTCCCAGAAACACTGGCTGCTTCATTCCCAGAGACGGCACACACTGCCTCTGATTTAGAAATGACCACACCGTACCAAGCCCTGGTCCACAGAACCCTGGACGGTGCTGAGAAGCCATCTTGCCTGTCTTCTGCTTCTAACCTGGGCACTCCCTCTGTCTCCTCTCCCTGAGTTTCTGTGATGCCTGGGGCTTGGCCTGCAGTTCAAACCACGGTTAGGAAAGAGCTCTGGATGAAGCCACAGCTCCCCACTAGAGTATCACGTCTGCATCCAACACCCAGCAGTGGACCTCAGCACTCGTCTGGTGATCAAAACTTGGAATGAATCCAGAAGAGCAGAGAGATATTTATTAAATGCAAACTTCTAATTGCTCCTTTAGTAATCTATTCTTCCAGTGACTGAGCCACAACATATTGTTTTTCTAGCAATTATTTTTAACATTCGGAAAATTGCCCTTAAGATATGCAAAACACATTTTGCATGAATCGCACTTAGGAGAGAGAGAGGCAAGCTCTCTTTTTTCCTCCATCTCGGTTATTAAGAAAATGTGAAGTTAAATTTGTCGATAATCACGTTTCTGCAGCACAGCAGAGTGGGCGTGAGTCAAAGCAAACAAGAGAAAGAAACCCAGAAATACTAAACAGAGCGCCTTTGACATATCGTGTCTGCATTTCCCGCCACGGTGCACGGGTTTCGGGGTGGAATTTTCCTGGCAGCAAATCCCCAGCCTCCCCCAGGGTTTTTTAAAGTGGGCCGAGGAGGTTAGAGACCTGGGAACTTACCTGTCAGCGTCCGGAGGGGCAGGCTGGGGGCAGGTCGGGCTGGGGAGCCACCCGTGCCGGGGCTGGGCCTCGGACGGCAGAGGCACCGTGTGTGGACGGCCTTCGTGGACAGGTGCACAGAGCCATGGGTCTCCGAGGCGCTACCTGCGGTTTACTGGCCGTTTATTAGAAGCCCACGCAATATCACGAAGCACCTGCAGGCAATAAAATCCCTTACATGTGTGAGGCCTCAAGGAAATTAACGGCTCCTCCCTGGGGATGCATATTTTGTGAAGATGTTTATTACAGATGAAGTGCTCCTGGGGTGGAACATTAACAAGTTGTAGAGTGATAAAAGGATTTTTATCCTTTCTCGGTGACAGAGGTAGGAAGAGGGCTTTAACGGAATCTATAAAAGGCCCACTTCCTAATGAATTTTCTTAACTTTATTAATAGGGTTGGTGGAGTGGAGTTGTAGCGGGGTGCGGTGTGCTGGACCTTTGGACAAAGGGGCTGGAGCAGGATGGGGGGCGCATGGGACTGGACACCTCACCTGGAAGGCAGGAGAGGGGTGCGAGTGCGAATCCAGGCAGAGAAGCCTGAATTCACTAAGACAGCACAAGGAAGGCTTGAGGGGGACATGCCCTGAAAAATTCATTTGAGACCCCTCAGGGTGCTGGGGTGAGTCAGGCCACAAGGCAGGTTCCGAGCCCCTCTTTTTAACCCCCTGTTTCCCACAATGGCCTGCAGGCCATTACTGAGATGAAAGCCGGGGAATGCCTTTGGACCAGCACTGCGGAATCTAATTGAATTATATGAACGCAGTTAAACGTCTGCTTCAGAGAGGCAGGGCTGCCTTCCAACGCGGCTGCTCGAGAGCTAATGGGCTGTTTGAACAATGGAGGCCGCGGGCCGAACACAGGTGGGCTGTGTTAATAACTTTATTTAGACCCACTTTTTTCCCCCCTTTGAGGCGCACAAGCCTTCCATTAATACATTCATTAGAGTTTATGGCCAGGCTCTGCTTTTCTCCTAATGACACTGTCCAGACCCTGCTCCCGAGCTAATTGAGGCCAGCTGCCCACTGCCCCGCCCCAGCCTCGGGACCCAGTGTCACCAGGATTAGCTGCTGGGGCAGGGCTGAGGGGAGCCAGCCCTACCGCCCTCCTCAGTAGCTGCACAAGAGCAGGGGTCAAGGGGGCCTGTGTCTTGGGACACCGCCTGCCCCACCCAGTGCTCCATGGATGATCACTGCCACGCTTGGCCCCTCCTGGCCTTCCTCACTGCTGTAGTTACACTAATGTTTCAAGAGGTCAACCTGACACCTCACGCATTGCTCAAGAACCTGCTGTGGCTCCCCACTGCCCTCAGAAGAAAGCGCATGCTCTGACTCTGAGCTCTGTGTTCTTCAAGTCGGCTCCACCCTCACCTCCAGGCACACTGGGTTCAGATACACCCCTCCTCTGCTTGTTGAGAACCAACAGCCAGGAGTCCCCCACTCTAACCCCAGGAACCCGCCTTCTCCCAAACCTACCAGTTTGGGTTCAAACACAGCATCCTCCAGAAGCCCGTTTTCTGCCTGAATCTGAGCCCTTTATCACTATGTGTGTATCTTGCTGTGGTCATGTCCTGCCACTAGGCCAAGACTCTCTGGAGAGCAGGACGCCTGTTTCTTATTATTATGAATCATTTACTATGTGCCAGTTGCTCTATGAACATTAGTTCATTCAATCTCCCAGCAGTATGGGGGGGAGGCATTTCTTTATCCCTGTTTCACAGGTGTGGAAACTGAGGCTCAAGGTCAGGAAGTTACTCACTGAAGAATGCCCAGCCTTACTGTTCACTGACCTGACTTTACTTCCCATCTGCATTGGGGGACCATCCGGGTGGTTGCTGGACTTGGCTCACACTGGCTTGCAAGAGCATCTTGTTCAATTTTTAGGAATTAACTCTGTGAGCTGGTTGTTCAACACCGGCATTGTTAAAATTATAAACCAGTCAGCTGTGATGGTGCACACCTGTAATTGCAGTATCCTGGGAGGCTGAGGCAGGAGGACAAACTTTCAAGTCCAGTTGAAGCAACCTAGCAATTTAGGAGGCTGTCTCAAAAAAAATTTTTTTAAAGGGCTAGGGATATAGCGCAGTGCAAAAGGCTCTGAGTTCAGTCCCCAGAACCACCAAAAATTAATTACTGCAAATGAAATTTAAAATTATATAAACTTACAGTTAAATAACTGATATTTAAACTTAAAGTAATAAATACTTTAAACTCATCAATCCCTGTAGATTTACTTTATTGTACTATCATCTAAGGTTACAAGGCTGCATCTATTGTACCTATGGTAGAAATTTTATATGGGTACCTGCTCTCTGACACTGTAACAAATGCCATAAGAAGCAATTTATACAGTTAAGATTCAGACTATGGCATGGAGATTGCCACCCACCTCCTCACACCACACACAAGGACATCATGTTTGAAATCACCATGGTGGGGGTATTTACACCATAGACATTGGCAAACTCTACAGATCATTGCTTTTATCTCTAGACAGCTGGTTGTAAGACATGAACCAACACTTCGCTGGATTAAGAGAAGCACTAACAAAGAAATCTACTTATGGCACAACCCTGTAATCCTAGCTATTCAGGAGGCTGAGTCAGAGGATCACAAACTTGAGGCCAACCTGGGAAAACTAGTGAGAACTTGCCTCAAAATAAATAAAAAGTGGTAAAGCACCCCAAGGTTGAATCCCTAGCACTTAAAAAAGAAAGGGAAGAAGGAAGAAGGAAAGAAGGAAGGTCGGTCAGGTTAAGTTGCTAAATTGTCTAGGTTGACTCGAACTTGCAAGTCTCCTGCCTCAGCCTCCCAGCATACTGCAGTAAGAGGCAGGTACCACCCTGCCAACCAAGAAGCAGCCTTTGACTTCTCCTTCCCAGGCTGGGTGGGTAGCCCTTCCCGGTGCTCCCACATGCCCATGTGTGCCCCCTCACTGCACTTACCTTGCTGTTCATAAAACTGCTGACTCATCTGTTTCCCGGCAACCAGAGAGCAGGATTTCTCCTCCTCAGGGCCAACAGCTGACCGGGCACAGAAGAGGCGCTCAGTGAACTGTGTTGGTAGGAGTGAAAAGACACAGAATTAGGGGAGTGAGCGTCTGTCTACAAGAGCTCAGGGAACACCTGTCAGAGGGGCCAGAGATTTCGTATGGAACAAAATAAGCACAGTCCTTGCCCTCTGAGCTCTCCCATGCTAGGGTTAGGGGAACTTTCAGAAGCTGGAGTTGGCGGGTATAGGAGAGGCGTGGGGAGTGAGAGCTGATGCAGTTAATCACACTGTGCCTTAAATTCACTGAAGATTTGCATTTTATCCTGTGGCCAGTGAGAAGCCATGGAAAGCACGTGGCATAGTCAAACATCAGTTCTAAAAGGATGACTCTAAAATGGCACCAGGCCCCGATGGCTGCCTGCGTTCTCCAAAGAAGAGATAATGCAGATGTAATTTGTGATTTTCTAAAGGACTGGAAAGGATGGGCAGTTTCACTTATAATCTTATGAGGTTCATACAAATTGAATCCCACAACCCAATGAGGACAGCTCCATAAACCTTAAGAACTAATTTCACCAGTAAATACTGATGAGGAAATAGAAAGCCAAATGCTATCAAAGAGTGTCCTGGAGAACATTAAACGTATAAACACAGAGATTAAATGGGATTTATTTCAGAAATGTGGGGCAGATGAGGAAAACCTACTTATGTAATCCCGCACATGCAGCTCCCATTCTCAATGTAAATACCACGCAGACTGGAACACAGGCCACAGGGTGGACACTGGGCTGCTGATGCTGCTGGTGCAGTCACTGGCCGTCTCCTTTTGTGTTCATGACACAAACACACGTGCACATCCTCTTTGTGCCCCCACCCAGCCCACCGGTGTTGAAGTGGACGCTCAGCATTGCTCAGTGACACCTGAGGCTACACGTGACTCCCAGACCACAGACCACAACCCACCTGCCCAAATAATCATGACACACCTGACTTATAATAATCACAATCTCACATGACTTAGAAATATGGGGAAACAAAATGGCACCACTGACAGAGGAAGGTGTTGTTTGCTTGTGAGACCCAAGGCAATCCAATGAAATAATATAAGAAAGAGCTGGGGATGCAGTTTAGTGGTAGAATGCTTACCTAACATGTGCAAGGGCCTTGGCTCCATCCCCAGCGATGCAAAAGGAAAATGAAGAGGGAAGAGGGAGGGAGGGAGGGAGGAAAAGGGAGGAAGGAAGAGAGAAAGGGAGAGAGAGAGAAAAGGCAAGCTAATAAATGAGTGGTAAAATGACTAGTGGTTAGGTAAGTAGAAAGTAGTAAATTTTCTATATTTCAGTAACAAGTACTAAGAAAATAAAATGGAAGACAAAACTTCATTTATAAAAGTCATATAAAGTACTAAATGCCTAGAAATAAACATAACCAGAAATGTACAGGACATAAAAGAATAAAACTTTAGGTAGGCATGGTGGCACACACCTGTAATCCCAGCACTTGGGAGGCTGAGGCAGGAGGATCGCTGCGAGTTCGAGACCAGCCTGGGCTACAGAGTGAGCTCAAGGCCAGACTGAACTGTATAGTGAGACCCTGTCCCAATAAGACAAATAAATAAATAAAACTTTATTAAAGAGTATAGATAAACTTCTAAATAAAGCCAAGGGAGAACTTTTTAAAACCTGGGCATCTTTCTAGATGGGAAGATTTATTGCTACAAAATTGAACATCTGCAAAGCAGTCTATAAATTTAACACCAGAAAAAATAAAATATCACCGGGATTTTATTTTTTAACTGAATTCTAAAGTTTACCTGGAAAAATATTAGAATTACCATAGTTTTTTAGTACTAAAGGTTGAACCCAGAGCACTGAACTATAAACCCAGCCACTTTTAACTTTTTTTAATTTTGAGACAAGGTCTCACCAAGTTGTCCAGATTGACCTTGACATTGTACCCCTCCTGCCTCAGCCTCCTGAGTAGCTGGGATTATAGGCATGCACCACCCTGCCCAACTCTCATGAAATTTTTTAAAGGAAGGATCAATGAGATGCTTTGTTATAAGATAAAAATTACTGCAAGACTGCAATGATTCAATCAGGGAGACACTTGTAGACAAAGACACAAGCACACCAATGAGAGAAAGCCAAAGACAATGTACATAGAGCACAGGAAAAATAGATTTCAGCCCAAGAGGGAAATAATGGAATTTTAAAATAAATAATGGGGAACAATTAGGGGAGCTCTTGGGAAAACACAGTGTTAGATTCCTATTTTATGTCAAAATAAATTCCAGATTCACTTAAGACTTAAAATTTTAGAAGGAATTTTTTTTAATTATCAGAAGAAAATCTTGAGCATGAGAAAAAGTTTTCTAAAGATGGCTCCAAAGATGAAAATAAAATGTCTTAAATGCTACATTTAAATTATTAAATAAATTTTTTAACTATTACATAATATTTATGTCATTCTTACATAAAAGGAATTAAGTATTTGGATAGGAAAGTATTCCAAATGAGCAAAATATAAAAGGTGAACTCTAAACTGGGGAGAGGATTGCTATTTGCTAAATATATGACAAAAAAGTAGTGGATGTATTTACAGATAAGTATCTCTTGTAAATCTAAAAGTACAAATATGTGGTGTATACCTGTAATCCCAACTACTCGGGAGGCTGAGACAGGAGGATCACAAGTTCCAGACCATCCTGGGAACTTAGTGAGACTGTCTAAAGTGAAATAAAAAGGGCTCAGGTATGTAACTCAGTAGTGGAGCACTTGCACGCACAAGGTCTTGGTTTCGATCCCCAGCACTAAAAAAAGAGAAAAAGGTCAAACAGTTAATAAAATGTTTGCAGTTGTGAAATACATACATACATACATTTATATTTTTAAAAGTCCTGAAAACATCCTCCAAAAAATGTTAATGGATATTGGCAAAATATAGAGATTTTTATTCTTTTTAGATTTTCACCTTATTCTTATATTATTTTTATTTAAAATAAAATTTAAAAGTTAAGTGTGATGCCACATGCCTGTAATCCCAGCACTCAGGAGGCTGAGGCAGGAGGATTACCTCAAGTTTGAGGCCAGCCTGGGCTACATAGTACGTTCAAGTCCAGCCTGAACTACATAGTAAGACCCTGTCTCAAGCAAAGAGTTACGTGCATATATTTTCACAGCCGAGAGCTGTCAGAAAATAATCAGGTAATGAAATGGTGCGAATAACACGAGACGATCTTTTTTTAAAAAGTGTGTGAGGGCACACCTATATGGACGCTGCCTGTACCTGGCATATCCATTCCAAACAGCTCGGGCTTAATAAATATTGGTCGAACGCGCATATTGTCGGAATCAGTGTTAATGTCTCAAACGCTGCAGGACCCCACTGGATGGATGGTGGGTGTCTGTTACTTCTACTTGCCGCTTTGCCCTAACGTTTCCCTGATAGGCATTACGTGCGTTCTTTTCATAACTTTCCGGTTGGAAACACCAGAAGCCACTCATTTCTCTACACCACGGGCGACTAACGGACCAAGTGGCCCAGGGTCTGGCTGGTGACATTGTGCAAGGCATGCGGAGAGGGCGGACACAGTCTGAGCGGGACACGCGCCACCGTGGCCCCTGCCCCAGGGTCCTCCCGCGTGGTCCCGAAGGTCTCCCCGGGCCCCCAGCCCCAGCTCCGACCTGCTCCCTCCGCCTCCTGACGCCCCGCCTTGCCCGCCCTCCCGCCTGGCAGCTGGGGCGCACAGAGAGCCCAGCGCGGCCCCGCACCGGCCGGACGCCTAACCCCAGGGGCCTCCCGGGGCTGGGAAGCTGGGCTCCCGGCTTGGCCTGGCCTGGCCTTCGGGGGTCCGGCCCTCTGCCCCCACCCCCGGCTCCTCCAGGCGGGCTCGCCCCCCAGACTTCCACAAACAGCGTCCTGCCGCTCGCAGCTGCCCTGCATCCCCCAGCCTGCTCCCCACACCCGGAAAGCCTGGGCACGGAGGACAAAGCAAGGGCGACGCTCGCTGGGAGAGGAGCCGGGAGGACCCCGGTGGGCTGGCGCGGGGCACAGCGCCCTGCGTGCCCACGGGTCCCGCGCCGCTGACAAAAGCCGCGCATCCACAGCACGGCAGGGCCGCCGGCCTGGCACGACGCTGGTGGGGCGGGAGAGCTGCGCGGCTCCGGGGCGCCCCACCCCGACTCCGCCTTAACGTGAAGACCCGGAGCGCAGGGCGGCTGCACCGCAAAAGCCGAAGGACGCGGTCTGCCGGGAGGGGCGCGCGTGCTGCAGTTTGGAAGAGCGCCTTGGCCCGGCCGCCGAACTGCCTTCTGAGCTGTGTGGCCCCAGCCAGACTCCCAACCTCTCTGATTCCTAGTTTCCTGCTGTGTTAAGTGGGCGACTGTGGGATGTCTTGTGGGTTCATTAGAATCAGTGCTCAGTCCTGGGCAGTTAGGACACGGGAGAGCCCCTCGCCCCCACCTCTGCCCTCTCCTCCCTTCGTCTCCTTACCTTCCTATCACTTTGTATAATGATAATATTAATGAGCTGGGCGTGGTGGTGCCTATCCATAATCCCAGCACTCTGGGAGGCTGAAGCAGGAGGACTGCAAATCGGAGCTCAGCCTGGGGAATTCAGTGACCTAGTGAGAGCTTGTCTCAAAATTAAAAAAAAAAAAAAAAAAAA